TCAAAGATTCCTTCTTTTTATAATTTCCTTTCTGTTTATAGAACTTCTTTTAGGCCCTATTTTAGGGTAAGTCTGCCAGTGACAAATCCTCTTAGTTTTTAATTCATCTGAGAACATCTTTCCTGAAGGATATTTTCACTGGGTATAGAATTCTGAGTTGACAATTCTCCATTGTCTCCTACCTGATGAGGCATGAAGCTTTCTGCTCCATCTTCCTCAGAATATAGCTATAGACTATAACCCTACTTAGCCGCAGTTCAAGACTGGCTCCTCAACAATGAGGTATTTCACAACTTGTGTTGCTGTCTTCCAGCTCTCTCTCTCTTTTTTTTTTTTTTTGGTGTCATCCCTTCACTGGGTGGGACAGAACTGGAGAACTTGTCTGCTTGGCTACTCTTCCCTTTGCTGTCTATGTGAATAATACATTGCATGGCTCTAATAGTAGCTATTGTATTTTTATGAGCCAAATTAGTCAGGTCCTGGCCTTGCCGGTTGCTATGTGTTTGACAGAAGGAACAATGGAAGGGGTAAAATTATAGGTAAATTTAGAATACCATCTATTCATCTTCTCTTTACTTTTCTAAAAGTTTTGAACCAAAACAATGTTTAGAGCCATAAGATACCTACTGGTGGATCATTAGCTAGTAATTATACATCTCTAGAGCTTTTTATTGTGAGCCAAATCCTCATTAATATATTTTCACCTTGGGACCAGCCACCTTGGGCTATGTCACTGAATTCCCATGTAGCCGACCACGGTTTGAGTCCCGGACCCGGTGGCTTGAACTCACGCCGGGTGCATGTGCGTGCGTGCCCAAGATCCCAAGAGGAGAATGGAAGAGAAGGGATTGTGGTGTGACCATCCCCCCTGGGGGGTGATTTCTCACTTTCTGTCTCTCTGTCTCTCTCTCTGTCTTTCTGGTGAGTGCACGCGCCCTATAGCAAAACCTCTCAAAAAAAAAAATATATATATATATAGTCACCTATTCGTGTTCTCCATCTTGTCCCCAAGAAAATGAGAACCTCTGTTTTCTTTAAAATTTATTTACTTGCTTATTTTTATTTTATTTTTTTTCCCATTTGTTCATGGTGAAACAGATTGAGGATTCAAACCAGAGACACCATATAAGATACAGTTTCTCTTGAGCAACACGCAGAGCCAACCTAAGTGAGCTTCTCTTGTATGGAAAATAATCTTGGAATCGATCCTGAAGGCTCTGGTAGGCCTGTGTGCAAAGTTTGTTGGGCATAACCCATAAAACAGCTCTCACAGTTTGGAGTCTTGTGCGTTTAGTTTTCCTAGGCTAACCTACCTAGTGGTCATCTCCATGGTAAGAGTCGCTGCTTCCTTTGAGAATTTATGAGCTTTCTTGGTATCTTTCTTCTTCTTCTTTTTTTCTTTGGAGAGGTTTTTGCTATGGGGCGCATGCGCTCGCCAGACAGACAGAGAGACAAAAAGCGAGAAATCACCCCCTAGGGGGGATGGCCACGCTGCAAGCCCTTCTCCTCCATTCTCTTCTCGGGATCTTGGGCACGCACGCACACGTGCCCGGTGTGAGTTTTACCCCACCGGGTCCAGGACTTGAACCGCGGTCGGCTACATGGGAGTCCAGTGACATAGCCATTACGCTAACTGCTGGTCTCATCTTTCTTGGTATCTTTTTAAACACAAACAAATCCCAGGAGCCCATCTGAGGTCTCCTTTGTTCTGCGATTTTTCACAGGTATGGTATTTCTAGTGCTCAGCATCTGAGAAGCGCTTAAGGCATCTGAGTACCTGAGCCCATGGACCAGAATGCCCGTGAAGCAGACATCTTCCAACCTTGTTCACCCTGGAAAACTCAATATTCAAATGCGCAACTGTCAGATCAAGCAGAAAAGTAGAACTCCAATCCACAATCTGCAGCGTCCAGTCTAGGAAGCCAATGCATTTTCTGCAGGAAGCACTCCAAGAAGTCAAACTACTCTCTATACCAGTCCAGGAATGAAAACCACCCCTGTAGCAATCAGCCCCCAAACAGCAAGGACTTGATTAACATCTGACAGATGTCTACGAAGTTTTGCCTTTTTTTTTTTTTTTTTTTGGAGAGGTTTTCTCTATAGGGCGCGTGCGCTCGCCAGACAGACAGAGAGAGAGAGACATAGAGACAGAAAGCGAGAAATCACCCCCCAGGGGGGATGGTCACGCTGCAATTCCTTCTCCTCCATTCTCCTCTCGGGATCTTGGGCACGCATGCACACGCGCCCGGCGTGAGTTTTAAGCCACCGGGTCCGGGATGCGAACCGCGGTCGACTACGTGGGAGTCCAGCGACATAGCCATTACGCTAACTGCTGGTTCCCTGCCTTTGTTTTCAATGTTGAACCAAACAGAAAAAGCTAAATATGCTCTCCTAACCTGTCTCATAAGATGCCTGGAGCTTCCATGCCACATTCCAGTCAGGGCACGCCTGAAGGTTCCCACCACCACCCCTCACCCCACCTTTATTATTTTTCTTTTCCCACTGTAAAGCTTTTCCACTCTTCCACCTTCCTTTGAGCCGCTGACTAGTTTGCTATAGCAAGCTCTGAATAAATAGTCTGGTCTTCATTATTTCCACATTTTTTTTTTTTGTAGAGTTTTGTGCTACAGGGCACGTGCACTTGCCAGACAGAGAGAAACAGAAAGCGAGAAATCACCCCCTAGGGGGGATGGCCACACCGCAATTCCTTCTCCGTTCCCCTCTCGGGATCTTGGGCACGCACGCACACGCGCCCGGAGTGAGTTTAAGCCACCGGGTCCGGGACTCGAACCGCGGTCAACTACGTGGGAATCCAGCGACATAGCCATTACGCTAACTGCTGGTCCCCAGGCATATTTATAGACGAAGAAGTGAAGGCGCACTCCGCTCTCTGGGGGTGGAGGGAGTAGTACAGGGAGGCAGGTCCGTGCAGGACAAGTGCAGTCCAGTGAAGCACCTGCTACCTTAGGTCAGCATCCACCGTGCTAGTGTGCAGCGAGCTGGAGAGGAGTGCTGGGCAGGAGCACCAGGAAAGGGTCCCTAAAATACCCTTTCTCTCCGGCGGCGCGCCCCCCAGACCCTCTAGCGGCGTGGTCCGGGGCAGCCGGACTTTGGGGAGAGCTGGACCACCCTCCCTCCTGGAGCGAAAAGGGAGGACCACAGAGACGCTGCGCCCTCCGTCGTCCTAGAGCAGCCGGAGCCGCACGAGGGCCGCGCCCCTGCTTTCCGGGGGCGGAGGGAGCCCCGGCTCCAGCGCTGCGAGCCCGG